GAGCCATGCCTTCATATCCATGAATCCGGTATCCGCGAGGTTTTCGCGGATACCGGGGATCTCCTACATAGGGTCCCTCGTTGGTTGTTGTTAGTCAGTCTATTACAGACCTCCCTCGTCCCGTCGTTGCAACCATCCGTCCCGACCCGTATGATGGCTCCATTTTCTCTTTGTCTATCCGTTTGTCCACCACTTTTAATAATCAATCCGCAGTTGGCAGAGTGGCGAATTTTTTTTTTGCGCAGCGAATTATCGAACTGAAAACGAATCTTGAATCCAACGAAAAACTCTTAGTGGTGCGTCAAAATCTTCCTCTCCGTTTGCCGTTTGGAAAAGAAAGCTGGTGAATCATCAATCGTTATCCAAAATTGGAGATTCTTCTTTCAACCGCATGTTAGTACTGCCGACGCAGAAAAAAAAAATATTTCTTCTTAACTTTTCCTTGTTCTGTTCTTTTTTTACTCGACGATTTTAATCCCCCGATGACTCAAGAACGACTTTTTTCAATTCTTTCCGGCCACTCTCAGCTGTTTCTACATATTCTACGCCGTATATACGACCTTTTTGGGCTATTTTCGCCCAATTTTAGTTGTTTCCTTGTATTTCCTTTTTATATTTTCTTCTGTGGTCCCCGCCAAACACCCAGTTTACGCATTTCCAGAGAACGACAGAAGATGATAGTCTGACGTCACTTTTACATGTAAAGTAAATGCAAGAAACAAGATGGCGGATCTTCTGTCGCAGTCTTAAAGCACGTGAACTTTGGCATGGACCATATCTTTCTATTTTCCCTTTAGTGCTCTTCGAATTCAATATATGCGTGGCAAGTTTTTGAAAAATTCAGGGAATATACAAGATTTTCTTGTTTCCAAAACCTTATAGAGTTGATGAACTTTTCAATTCCGGTAGAAAACATATTTCTCTGATTAAATATTTTTTGTTTTTTTAATCCAGGCTTGCCGATGGTCTGGAAAACCGGGAAGGTCAGGGAATTGGCGGTGACCGGAAAAAGTCAGGGAATTTTGCGAGATACGTTTAGCAGAAGTGAGTGTAATTTTAAGGGGGAAAAACTCAGAATTTTTACTCGAATGTTAGGGAAAGTCAGGGAATCCGAAACTTTTGGAGTCAGGAAGAAGCAAAAATAGTCTGGGAAAGTCAGGAAATTTGAAGATGAAGAAATTATGACAACCTTGCAATCGTATTTTTGCTCCTACGACGAAGAAATCGAACTTTTCTGGACATTTTTTACATTCAGAGTTTAACTTGTTTCACTGTTATTTTTTCTGAATTTTTTTTTGGTCGCTTCTTTGTCATCCCGCTCGGCTCTTTACGAAAGGATGCCGTGCTTTTTACAACCATAAAAATTGCGAAAGAGAAAAAAAATTGGAACTGATTTTAAAATATCTCTGCGCCCTGCTCATCGAAGCTTCACAATAAACATCAAAACACACGGTGGCCTAATTTTTTCGTCGTTCCTCAAATCGTTCACCGTCCGTAATTTAATTCACAGACATCGCTAATTCCGCAGCAAGCAGACAGCACGCGCTCGGATTTGCGTTGCGAACTCGACGGCCGCACGGCTGTCGGACTGTTTTAATTTGTTTAAATTATTCGGCTCCGTCATTTTACTGAGGTATTATACAATTTGAGAGGAAATTTGGCAATCTGATACTTGATAGTTATGCTCAGTCTTCGTGTGAAAAATTATGACGATAAGAAACAGGCGTCAATTGCTGCAATTTGATCGTCTTAAATTTTCTATTTATCTCTTTACTCTCTCGTTACGACTATTATTAATTTTTATCCTTTTTTTATTTATGATTTTCACTCTTCTTACTGTTTTTTTATGTAATACCTAAAACGACCGGCGCATCCTTATTAGTAGTGGACATCAAATATTTTAAAAAAAATAATTTGGAAAAGAATCGTCAAAAATAACAAAATAAAAATTCTAAAAGAAGTGAGTATTTTTTCCCCCAGCTATTGTCTTTAAAGGACCAGCAAACTCTTTTCTGACAAAATTGTAAGAACAGAATTCAACGTGATTTTTTCATCACGATTAAATGAAACTTTCCGTTTCGAAAAACAGTAAAGTCTACAGAAAAATGTTTATAGATAATAATTTTGGAAGTAAATCGTAACGATTTTGTAAAAAATGATTAAGTATTTTCGTAGGGTTGTAATCACTATTTCAATCACAGTGCTTGAGAAATAGGGTGCCGTAATCATCGCCATTACTGTAAGTTCTGTAACTCCGCAACCAATCATCTTTCGTTAGAGTTACATCGGAAGATATACCTGGTCGATTTCTACCCGGATTACTTTTTGCAATAAGAAACCACTATTTCTGGCTCCTTTTAGAAACAACATATATGCCATTGGTTTCCCTATGCAGACAGGTGCTTTCATTGAAAAGCCGGAGAAATGTAGTGGTTCCTTATTGCAAAATGTAATCCATTTTAACCTCCTTCGACAGTGGCGTGGCGTGAATGATCGATTATCGATATTTCCCCATTTGAGCTGTGGTGAAGAATCGATTATTAGGGTGTTCGCAGCGAACACCCTAATAATCGATTCTTTACCACAGGTTTAAATGGTAGATCAATCGATATATCGCAAAGCACGCCACGCCACTGTTCTTCGAGGCCTCGGCCGCGAAACTTCCAGGAGGGGCGCCTCTAGTGCTCCCAAATTTATCTTTCGCCACTGCAACAGTCGTTGGGCAACATGAACAATCTAGCCGATTAACAACC